GATGGCCATCTGTCAGGGGTGATTTGAATGCAATATTCCTGCTTCTTAGCAGAATGGGGTTGGACTGGATGGCCCAGGAGGTCACTTCCAACTCTTTGATTCTATGATTCTATGGTCAGGAGACTCCAAAGACATTGCAGGTTATGGTGAACACCATGAACATGTCCAAGAGCCATGCCAAGGCCCTCCACAAAAAACCAAACTGCCCACCACCCAAGGGAAGGCCTAGGAGGTCTCTTCCAACTCTAGGATTCTATGAAACTATGATTCTATGATTCCCAAACTACATTTCCCAGAGTTCTGTGCTTCCTCTATCTCTTTCCCACAGAACTCTGCTTCCTCCCTGCAGCCTTTTTGGCTTTGCTTTGGCAGCCTTTTTGGCCCATGAGGTCTCTTCCAACTCTTTGATTCTATGATTCTATGCCTTGGTGCACAAGTCTTAGTTGTGCAAACACCCCCCTGGTCACCACCGAAACCTGAGGTTCCAGGCTCAGTGATGAGTCCAGGAGGACCCCAAGCTGCAAACCTGTGCTTTCAAGGGGAGTGTAACCCCATCCAGTGCATCCGATACCTTGCTCGGCCTTGCGACTGACCAGGAAGACCTCTGTCTTGTCTGGATTCAACTTGTTCACCCTCATCCAGCTCGACACAGCGGACAAAAACCTAAACATCCTCCTTAGTAGCGGGTGAAAAGGAGTAGTAGAGTTGGACGTCATCTGCGTATAGATGATACCAAACTCCAAAACTCCAGATGATCTCACGCAACGGCTTCATGTAGATGTTAAACAACATGGAGGGACAGTACCGAACTATCTTGAGTGCGACAAAGAGACTGAAGGTCTAGAGAAGAAAAGAAGAGTTTCTCTGGACTTCGGTTTGGTTTGTTTTAACACGTGAAGCAGAACCAAAGACAGTGATGTCTACGCCTCTCGTCAATAACAAAAGCGACAACTATGTTTGCCTTCCCAACGATCACAACATTTCTGCTGGGCCTATAAACTACCAAAGTCAATGTTGTCAAGCTTTCATCACAAAGCAGGAGGAAGGACCGTTTTAGAGGTCAACGAGCGTTCCGTCCTCATATATTGTAATTGCTCCGTTTCCACTTTTAGCTTTAATGAAACTCAAAGTAAACCTTCTAAAGCAGACAAACATGACCCAGAATGAATTGTAGATTTGAGAGATGAAAACCTTCCCATAAGGAGGCCATGTAGGAGATAGATCGATCGATCACTTAGTTGCCCTCCCACTGCATATAACCATTGGAGCCCAATAAGCCACGTTGCTAAGGGAATATATAAAGCAACACTCATCTCTATAGAATGATTAAGACGATTAATGATTAAGATGATTAAGACGATCATTGCCATGCCTTTCATTATGAATCCATCATCATTGTTATGACCCGTGTCTGATCCCACAGCAAGCTGGCTTCAGGAAAGGCAGAAGCTGCACATTGCAAGTGCTGAACCTGACTCAACACATAGAAGGTGGCTTTGAAAGGCAGCAGATCAAAGGAGCTCTCTTCATAGACCTGTCAGCAGCTTATGATACTGTGAACCACCGCCTCCTCCTGAGAAAAATGTATAGTATCACAAAGGACGACCACCTCACCTGCCTCATAGGAAACCTGCTACAAAACAGGAGCTTTTTTGTTGAGTTCCAGGGCCAGAGAAGCAGATGGCGGAAACAGAAGAACGGCCTGCCTCAGGGGAGCGTGCTTGCTCCATCCATGTCCAACATCTACACAAATGACCAGCCACTGCCAGAAGGGACAGAGAGCTTCATCTATGCTGATGACCGTGCCATTACTGCTCAAGCAGGGAGCTTTGAGATGGTAGAACAGAAGCTCTCTGAAGCTCTAGGCGCTCTTACTGCCTATTACAGGGAAAACCAGCTGATCCCTAATCCATCTAAAACATGTGCTTTTCATCTCGAGAACAGACAAGCATCCCGAGCTCTGAGGATTATTACCTGGGAAGGAATCCCACTGGAGCATTGCAGCGCACTCAAATACCTGGGAGTCACTCTGGACTGTGCTCTTACCTACAAGAAGCACTGCCTGAACATCAAGCAAAAAGTAGGCACTAGAAACAATATCAAATGAAAGCTGACTGGCACAACCTGGGGGTCACAACCAGACACAGTGAAGACGTCTGCCCTTGCACTATGCTACTCTGCTGCTGAGTACGCATGCCCAGTGTGGAACATATCTCACCACGCTCAAACAGTGGATGTGGCTCTTAATGAGACATGCCGCATTATCACGGGGTGTCTGCGCCCTACACCACTGGAGAAATTACACTGCTTAGCTGGTATTGCACCACCTGACATCCGCCGGGAAGTAGCAGCCAATAGTGAAAGGACCAAGGCAGAGACATCTCCAACCCATCCTCTGTTTGGGTATTAGCCAGCACGCCAGAGCCTTACATCTAAGATCTACAGAGACACTCGCTGGAACACCTCAGCAAGTGAGAGTCCAAAAGTGGCAGGCTCAAACCCAGAATCTCAATCAATGGCTGATACCAAATGAGAGACTCTCCCCTGGGCACACAGAAAACTGGGCAACTTGGAAGGTGCTGAACAAACTGCACTCTGGCACCACGAGATGCAGAGCCAATCTTCAGAAATGGGGCCACAAAGTGGAATCCACGACATGCGAGTGTGGAGAGGAGCAAACCACTGACTGCCTGCTGCGATGCACCCTGAGCCCTGATACATGCACAAGGGAGGACCTCCTTGAGGCAACACCAGAGGCACTCCAAGGGGCTAGAGACTGCTCAAAGGACATTTAATCAACTACCAAGTTTGCAAAATTTGTGTTTTCGGGTTTTTATTAATCTGTTTGTTTGTTTTGTTCTGTTCGAAATGTAACATAATGGTCTGGTTGCTGATGACACGATAAATAAATAAATAAATATTTATATTACATGTAATATTACTAATAATATTACAATATTATGCTATAGTACAATATAGTGATATATAATACTGATATTGTACTATGCTAATAATATAATATATTGTATGTATATATATCTTGTAAGCCACTCTGAGTCGTCTTCAGGGTGGGAAGGGTGGCATATAAGTTTTGCAAATAAATAAATAAATACATAAATAATAGAGATAAGGAGTGGAAAAGCAGGTGCATGAGAAATGATGTTATGGGAGGGTCAGACGCCTTTTAAAGTGGTTCCTACTGGTACAATCCTTTGTGAGAGCAATGTTATTTTCAGGTGAACAGATCTCGGTTTTTGGTCCTATATTCTTGGAATTCGTGTATCCAAGTGTCTAAGTGTGTTCTTGCTTCTAGTTCATGTGTGGCATAGGTTGACTGCCCTGGATTCATGCTCTCTCGATTATGGATATATTTGTGGCTTGACTCTGTAGACTGTATTTGAAAAGTGTTAGGAATTGTAGAAGTTGAAGTCCAAAACACCTGGAGGGCCAAAGTTTGCCCATGCCTGATCTAGATAAAGGCACTTGTAATTGCGGAGACAGAGCATGCAACAAAGACAGACTCGCTTTTCCCAGAGGCTTAGAGATAAGGAGAGGAACAGGTGTGTGCGAAATGATATTATGGGAGGGACGGAGGCCTTTTGAAGTAGTTCCTGCTGGTATAATCCTTTGTGAGAGCAACATTGCATTCAGGTGAACAGTTCTTGGTTTTTGGTCCTATATTCTTGGAAATCAAGTATCCATTGTTGTGTAGGTGTGTTCTTGCTTCATGTGTGGCATAGGTTGGCTGCCTTGGATTCGTGCTCTCTTGTTTGTGGATATATTTGTGGCTTGTCTCTGGAGACTGTATTTGAAAGGTGTTAGGAATTGTAGGAGTTGAAGTCCAAAACACCTGGAGGGCCAAAGTTTGCCCATGCCTGATCTAGATAAAGGCACTTGTAATTGCGGAGACAGAGCATGCAACAAAGACAGACTCGCTTTTCCCAGAGGCTTAGAGATAAGGAGAGGAAAAGCAGGTGTGTGTGAAATCATATTATGGGAGGGACGGAGGCCTTTTGAAGTAGTTCCTGCTGGTATAATCCTTTGTGAGAGCAACATTGCATTCAGGTGAACAGTTCTTGGTTTTTGGTCCTATATTCTTGGAAATCAAGTATCCATTGTTGTGTAGGTGTGTTCTTGCTTCATGTGTGGCATAGGTTGGCTGCCTTGGATTCGTGCTCTCTTGTTTGTGGATATATTTGTGGCTTGTCTCTGGAGACTGTATTTGAAAGGTGTTAGGAATTGTAGGAGTTGAAGTCCAAAACACCTGGAGGGCCGAAGTTTGCCCATGCCTGGTGGAGATGCACCCGGGGTACCAAAACTTCAAGGACACAGTAGATAAAGTTGAAAGTTCATTTCCATTTTGGAAAAAAGGCAAACCAAGAGACGCCGGTCGTAACCTATTACGACAAACATCTTTTGGATTAAGAGCGGGCAAACAAAGTATTCGAGATTATGAATATGGATAAACTTACCTATTGGCTTTCACTAAACCAAGGCTTACCAAAGAAAGAAACTAATTGGGATCCAGCAAAAGATTATTTCAGTCAGTTGAAAATAGAGTTGATATGCTAAATAGAATCAATCAAGAAATGGGGCCGCAAAGTGGAATCCTCAACATGCGAGTGTGGAGAAGAGCAAACCCCTGACCACCTGCTGCAATGCAACCTGAGCCCTGCCACATGATGCAGAAGGGAGGACCTCCTTGAGGCAACACCAGAGGCACTCCAAGTGGTCAAAGGACATTTACTCAACTACCAAGCTTGCAAACTTTGTGTTTTGTTTGTTTGTTTGTTTGTTAAAAATGCAATACAACTGTTTGGTTTGCTCCTGTCACAATAAATAAATAAATAACTCTTAAGACTCTGCATCTTACTTAATGTGGTGAGTAATCCAGCCCCAAGCAGTGACTTAAGGAACCTTGCTGCCGTTTGCAAACCAGTGCCATGCGTCCCTGTTTCCCCCTCCAGAATTGCATTGCTTTCAAACCAATATCCATTTACCTGTGGTCTAAAAACAGAAACTTCCATTCCAGGCTGTGCCTCGATGTGAATTCTTCGCACGGCTCTTCCACGTTGCAAAGTTCCTGCAGAAAACAGATGGCAATGTGAGCGGCCGCTTCTTTCGTCCTCCCTTTCAATAAATGCACTTCTTGAAAAATAAATAAAGACATCGGGCCATCTGGTGAACAGGGCTGCCGGCTATGCAGGCCTTACATTGGGACACAACGACTCCGAACAGCTTTCCTCTGAAGAGCAACCTTAGTCTGGTTTCCAAAGGGTTCAGATGGATTCTGGAGCAGATTGGTGTCGAAAAGGAGGATTCAGTGTCGAGAATCCCTTAACCCAGTGCTTCCCAATCTGGGGGTTGGGACTCCTGGGGCAGGGGGTTGTGAGGGGGTTTCAGAAGAGTCACCAAAGACCATCAGAAAACACATATTTCTGATGGTCTTAGGAACCACTTTGGCAGAGGCGGCCCTAGGTAATTTTCAAAGGTAAGCAAACAGTATTTTGCCCCCCCCCCCAACCAATCATTGATATATATTTTCTGTTTGTTGTGGGAGTTCTGTGTGCCATATTTGGTTCAATTCCATCATTGGTGGAGTTCAGAATGCTCTTTGATTGTAGGTGAACTATACATCCCAGTAACTACACTTGCCGCACTTGCTCCCTTGCCTGGCCCGCTTTGGGTTCAGAGGCGTGCCTGAAGACCCCGGCGTGTGCACCAAAAGTCACCTCTTCTCCTGACTTTCTCCTCAGCCATTGGGACCGAGAGAGAGAGAGAGAGAGAAAGAGAGGTGGAGATGCCCACCTTTCCTGAAGGTAGGCGCAAAAACAAAGGAGGGAGCGGAGGTGGGAGATACCTCCAGCCGGAGGGGCTCTCTCTCTCTCTCTTGGTCCCAATGGCTGAAGAGAAAGTCAAGAGAAGAGGTGACTTTTGGTGCGCACGCTGGGGTCTTCAGACACGCCTCCAGACCCGAAGCGGGCCAGGCGTGGCGGCTCCACCCCTTGGCCCACCCGCGGATTGGGGAGGGGAGAGGAGGCGGGTGGAGCGCCGGGGGATCAGGGAAAGGGAGCCGGTCATGGGGAAGGGATCGAACGCGGAGAACGATTGAGCACCGGCTCTGCTCGCGCACCCGGTGGCCGGGTGGAGCAGGAACGAGAGGGGCGAGGCGAGGCTCAAGGGCCCGGCCCCTTTGGGAAGAGGATCGCCCGGCAGCGAGGCAAGAAAGCCGAGGCTCCCCCCGGACTGCTAGGGCTGTTGTGAGCTGAGGGGGCGCTCCTCAAGTGGCGGTCGAGGGGCATTTACAGAGGCGCCTCTGCACCCCTGGCAAAAAAAAAGTGTTCTGCGACCGCTTACTTTGCGTAATGGACGAGCCGCCCCTGCACTTTGTCAGAGAAGGCTGAAGATCTAGAGGGGCCCTGCTCTCGGTCCCACCACCCTCGCTGCTTGAAACGAATTGCCTTTAAAACAGGACGTGCAACTTTAGCCCAGTGGGAAGCCAGGGGGCCCGAAGAGAAATTCTTAAGGATTTTCACCATAAACAGTCTCTAGAGGGCTTGTAAAATATAACAAAGTCTTTTATTGGTGAACAATCAACAGAAACTTCTTTTGTCTTCAAAAGGTTAAACAAATGCTTCCAGGCTTTTGTGCAACTGGTGGCTTCTAACTGTTACTTTTACTCTAAAGGAAAATCCCTTTCCAAACTTCTCCCAGTGTGCTGGTACAGCTGTACCAGGAGCTCCAATTTTGTTTGCTTTGCATTGAATGTTTGTTGCAGTCCTAAGTTTCAGGGACTCTGCAGATAGGTGGCTTCTTTTGGCTGCAATCATAGGGCAAGCCACCTGTCAATTATAGTTAGGTTCCCTGGTCCCGCCCTTTTTGAGTTTTGGAGGGAATAGGAGCCTTTTTGAGTCAGTTCTCACAGAGAAGCCTTTCGCACAGGACATAAAACCAAGAGCTCCTGTAGAAAGCTTCGTCTTCTACAGCTTGGCCAGGGAGATATACAGCCTACAGCTTGGCCGGGGAGAAAAGGCCCCACAGCTTGGCTGAGGATTTTACAGCCTTACAGCTCCTTTGCTGAAGGACTTCAGCCAGCCATCACCAAAATACACCAGTATTCAAATCTGGGTTTATCAGGGATTTGTGCCAAATTTGGTCCAGTGAATGAAAATACATCCTGCATATCAGATATTCACATTATGATTCATAACAGTAGCACATCACAAGTGCTGAACCTGACTCAGCACATCGAAGATGGCTTTGAAAGGCAGCAGATCACAGGAGCTGTCTTCATAGACCTGTCAGCAGCCTATGAGACTGTGAACCACCGCCTCCTCCTGAGAAAAATGTATAATATCACAAAGGACGACCACCTCACCCGCCTCATAGGAAACCTGCTACAAAACAGGAGCTTTTTTGTTGAGTTCCAGGGCCAGAGAAGCAGATGGCGGAAACAGAAGAACGGCCTGCCTCAGGGGAGCATGCTTGCTCCATCCATGTTCAACATTTACACAAATGACCAGCCACTGCCAGAAGGGACAGAGATTCATCTATGCTGATGATCGTGCCATTACCGCTCAAGCAGGGAGCTTTGAGATGGTTGAACAGAAGCTCTCCGAAGCTCTAGGTGCTCTTACTGCCTACTACAGGGAAAACCAGCTGATCCCTAATCCATCTAAAACACAGACATGTGCCTTTCACCATAAGAACAGACAAGCATCCCGAGCTCTGAGGATCATTACCTGGGAAGGAATCCCACTGGAGCATTGCAGCGCACCCAAATACCTGGGAATCACTCTGGACCGTGCTCTGACCTACAAGAAGCACTGCCTGAATATCAAAAAAGTGGGTGCTAGAAAAAATATCATACGAAAGCTGACTGGCACAACCTGGGGATCACAACCAGACACAGTGAAGACATCTGCCCTTGCGCTATGCTACTCTGCTGCTGAGTACGCATACCCAGTGTGGAACACATCCCACCACACTAAAACAGTGGATGTGGCTCTTAATGAGACATGCCGCATTATCACAGGGTGTCTGCACCCTACACCATGGAGAAATTACACTGCTTAGCCGGTATTGCACCACCTGACATCCGCCGGGAAGTAGCAGCCAATAGTGAAAGGACCAAGGCAGAGACATCTCCAGTCCCCTGTTTGGGTATCAGCCAGCACGTCAACGACTTAAATCAAGAAATAGTTTTCTAAGATCTACAGAGACACTCGCTGGAACACCTCAGCAAGTGAGAGTCTAATAGTGGCAGGCTCAAACCCAGAACCCCAATCCATGGCTGATACCAAATGAGAGACTCCCCCCTGGGCACACAGAAGACGGGGCAACTTGGAAGGCGCTGAACCGACTGTGCTGTGGCACCACGAGATGCAGAGCCAACCTCAAGAAATGGGGCCACAAAGTGGAATCCACGACATGCGAGTGCGGAGAAGAGCCAACCACTGACCACCTGCTGCAATGCACCCTGAGCCCTGCCACATGATGCACAATGGAGGACCTTCTTGCAGCAACACCAGAGGCACTCCAAGGGGACAGATACTGGTCAAAGGACATTTGATCAACTACCAAGTTTGCAAAATTTGTGTTTTTTTTATCTGTTTGTTTGTTTTGTTCTGTTAGAAATGTAATGCAATGGTCTGGTTGCTGATGACACGATAAATATAATCAGATATTCACATTGCGATTCAAAACAATAGCAAAATGACTGTTATGAAGTAGCAACGAAAATAATTTTATGGTTGGGCGTCACCACAACATGAGGAACTGTATTAAGGGGTCGCGGCATTAGGAAGATTGAGAAACTCTGCCTTAGCCCATTGGGTTTAAAGATTGCATTGGTTTCTGGGTTATTTGGGAGACGGGTCTCGAGCAAAGAGATGGCCTACCTTCAAGAACTGTGGCGTGACCAGGCGGACTGTGGCTACGAGGCAGATCTGCTCTTCGTTTGCGGATCGGAACACCCGGGCGATGGCAGATTCAAACCCATTGTGAGATGATGTAGGCACTGGGAACAAACAAACAAAATGCATAAATATAAATACCTAAAAAAATTCAAACGTTGAAGATTCTTTTATTTTTCTCTTGTCCTTGTGTTAGCAAAAGGAACACTTCCACTGTTTGGGTTGCAAATGCCTCTTCTCAAAGACAGGATGACAAACCTGATGCCAATAAAAGAGCAACACAATTAAAACATGCCAACTTATGGGTCCATTCTTAAGAAGCTATAATAGAAAAATGCACAATATCAATGACATAGAATTGCAGAAGTACATATACACACATATATCCAAGGTGGGTGAAAAAGTAATGCCTCCATCCAGAGGCGGCCCTAGGTAATTTTCAATGGTAAGCAATAGGGCTGGGCGGTTTCGTTTCGTTAATTCGTAATTCGTTAATAATTCGTTAATTTTTTCAATTACAAAACGATAACGAACCATTCTGGAGCAATTATTTAAAAAAAGAATTTTCAAAAACGTTTTGTAAATGCTTCGTATTTCGATATTGTATTCGTTTCGTTATTGTTTTGAGGTCGTTTCGTTATTATTTCCGCATGTCTGGGCCAGTTTTATGGTTTAATTAGTGAAAAAAAAATTATAATATCACACCAACAGTCAACAACAGAAGGAGAGGGAAGCTTCAGAAGGTTTTGGAGGTTTTTTAGCGTATTTCGCGGTCGCGTCCGCCATTAACGAATCGATTCGTTATTGTTTCGGAAATCGATTCGTTAATTTTTTACCATTTACGAAATTTCGTAAATATCGAACTTTTTAAAAGGAAAATTTTGTAATTATTTTAAATATCGAAACAAAAAAAACCCCCAAATACAAATCGATTTTAGAAACAAATTTTTCCGTTGTTACCCAGGCCTAGTAAGCAAACAGTATTTTGGTGCCCCCCCCCCCATGCAGCTGTGGACAAGTTTACACAGGGACCACCAAACGCAGCATTGCCCAGACACGCATCAAGGAACATGAAAGGCACTGCAGACTCCTTCAACCAGAGAAGTCAGCCATAGCAGAGCACCTGAGGAACCAACCTGGACACAGCATATTATTTGAGAACACAGAAATGCTGGACCACTCTCACAACCACCATGTCAGACTACACAGAGAAGCCATTGAAATCCACAAGCATGTGGACAATTTCAACAGAAAGGAGGAAACCATGAAAATGAACAAAATCCGGCTACCAGTATTAAAAAAACTCTAAAATTACAACAGCAAAACAACAGAGAGAGAGGAAACAACCAGGCACAGATTAACACCTCCTAGCAACAGATTTTCCCAGACTCAGGCAGGCCTTCAAATGCTAATGAAGGTGATCAGCTAAACATTCACACCTAACTGCAGCAGGGAAGAGCTCCTTGCCCCACCCCAGCCATTCCACAGATATATAAACCCATTTTTCCTACTTCCAACAGACCTCACACCTCTGAGGATGCTTGCCATAGATGCAGGCGAAACGTCAGGAGAAATGCCTCTAGAACATGGCTCTATAGCCCGAAAAAACCCACAAAACTGATATATATTTTCTGTTTGTCGTGGGAGTTCTGTGTGCCATATTTGGTTCAATTCCATCATTGGTGGAGTTCAGAATGCTCTTTGATTGTATGTGAACTATACATCCCAGTAACTACACTTGCCGCACTTGCTCCCTTGCCTGGCCCGCTTTGGGTCCGGAGGCGTGCCTGAAGACCCCGGCGTGTGCACCAAAAGTCACCTCTTCTCCTGACTTTCTCCTCAGCCATTGGGACCAAGAGAGAGAGAGAGAGAGAGAGATGGAGATGCCCACCTTTCCTGAAGGTAGGCACAAAAACAAAGGAGGGAGCGGAGGTGGGAGATACCTCCAGCCGGAGGGGCTCTCTCTCTCTCTCTCTCTCTTGGTCCCAATGGCTGAAGAGAAAGTCAGGAGAAGAGGCGACTTTTGGTGCACACGCTGGGGTCTTCAGACACGCCTCCGGACCCGAAGCAGGCCAGGCATGGCGGTTCCGCCCCTTGGCCCACCCGCGGATTGGGGAGAGGAGAGGAGGCGGGTGGAGCGCCGAGGGATCGGGAAAGGGAGCCGGTCATGGGGAAGGGATCGAACACGGAGAACAATTGAGCGCCGGCTCTGCTCGCACACCCGGTGGCCAGGTGGAGCAGGAACGAGAGGGGCTAGGCGAGGCTCAAGGGCCCGGCCCCTTTGGGAAGAGGATCGCCCGGCAGCGAGGCAAGAAAGCCGAGGCTCCCCCCAGACTGCTAGGGCTGTTGTGAGCTGAGGGAGCGCTCCTCAAGTGGCAGTTGAGGGGCATTTACAGAGGCACCTCTGCGCCCCTGGCAAAAAAAGTGTTCTGCGACCACTTACTTTGCATAATGGATGAGCCGCCCCTCAAAGCAACTAGACTAACAAGACAAAGTTAATATCTATATTTTCTTTTAATTCTTTTTAACCTTTCCTTTTTCCTATACACCTATTCTTTAAACATTCATTTTGCTATTCTCTCTCTCTTTTGTCTCTTCTTCCTTCCTTCTCTCCTTCCCTCTCTCTTTCTTCAATTCTTTCATTTTTTTATTTCTTTCTCTCCTTCCTTCCTTCACTACGTTTCTCTCTTTCTCTCTTTTGTTCCTTCTCTCCTTCCTTCCCTCTCTCTTTCCTTCCTTCTTTCATTTTTTTATTTCTTTCTCTCCTTCCTTCCTTCACTACGCCTCCCTCTTTCTCTCTTTTGTTCCTTCTCTCCTTCCTTCCCTCTCTCTTTCCTTCCTTCTTTCACTTTTTTATTTCTTTCTCTCCTTCCTTCCTTCACTACGTTTCTCTCTTTCTCTCTTTTGTTCCTTCTCTCCTTCCTTCCCTCTCTCTTTCCTTCCTTCTTTCATTTTTTTATTTCTGTCTTTATTCTTCCTTCCCTCTTTCTCTCTTTTGTTCCTTCTCTCCTTCCTTCCCTCTCTCTTTCCTTCCTTCTTTCATTTTTATTTCTTTCTCTCCTTCCTTCCTTCACTACGTTTCTTTCTTTCTCTCTTTTGTTCCTTCTCTCCTTCCTTCCCTCTCTCTTTCCTTCCTTCTTTCACTTTTTTATTTCTTTCTCTCCTTCCTTCCTTCACTACATTTCTTTCTGTCTTTCTTTCTTTTGTTCCTTCTCTCCTTCCTTCCCTCTCTCTTTCCTTCCTTCTTTCACTTTTTTATTTCTTTCTCTCCTTCCTTCCTTCACTACGTTTCTTTCTCTCTCTCTTTTGTTCCTTCTCTCCTTCCTTCCCTCTCTCTTTTCCTTCCTTCACTACATTTCTTTCTGTCTTTCTTTCTTTTGTTCCTTCTCTCCTTCCTTCCCTCTCTCTTTCCTTCCTTCTTTCACTTTTTTATTTCTTTCTCTCCTTCCTTCCTTCACTACATTTCTTTCTCTCTTTTGTTCCTTCTCTCCTTCCTTCCCTCTCTTTCCTTCCTTCTTTCACTTTTTATTTCTTTCTCTCCTTCCTTCCTTCACTACATTTCTTTCTTTCTCTCTTTTGTTCCTTCTCTCCTTCCTTCCCTCTCTCTTTCTCTTCCTTCTTTCTTCCTCTCCCCTTCTACCTTTCTTCCTTCTCTCCTTCCTCCCCTCTTTCTTCCTCCTCCCTCCTTTCTGTGTATGTGTTTTTTGTGTGTATGCATATATGTGTGTATATGTGTGTGTTTGTGTATATATGGGTTTTGCACATGCGTTGTGATGTATTTTTTGTTTTTTGGCTTTTAAAGTCCCTTCTGCTGTGTTTTTCATTGTTTTTATGAGTGATGGTCGCTCGTTTCTTCGTCCTTACATCTTTTCTTTCCGTCTTCTTTCCACGTTTTCTTCCTTTACTATACTACCTCTTTATTTCCTCACTTACATAGCTATTGGTTACCAAACTCATTCATCTCTTTCCTTCCCTCACACCCATAATACTTATTTATTATTTACTTACTCCTTCTCACAATAATTATTAGTTATTAACTATTTTCCTGTCCCTCTTTTTCTTTCCCTTTTCTTTCTTCCTTCTCTACCTGTTCTTGGACTGCAACTTCTCTTTCCTTCCCTCCTTCCTTCTCTTCCTTCCTTCCTTATTTCTTCTCTCCTTTCTTTCCTTTCTTTCTCTCCTTCCTTCCCTCTTTTTCTTTTCCTTCTTCTTTCCCTTTCTTTCTCCATCTCTACCTGTTTCTTTCCTCCCTTCCTTTGCTCTTTGGTTCCATCCTTCCTTCTCTTTCCTTCCTTCCTTCCTTCCTTCCTTCCTTCCTTCCTTTTCTCTTTCCTTCCTCCTTCCTTCCTTCTTCCTTCCTTCCTCTCCTTCCTTCCCTCCTCTTTCTTCTTCCTTTGTTCTTTCCTTCTTCTTTCTTCTTTCTCTTCCTCTTTCCTTCCTTCCTTGGCTTTTTGTTTGCTTCCTTCCTTCTCTCTTTCCTTCTCTCTTTCTTTCCTTCCTCCCTCTTTCTCCTTTCCTTTCTCTATCTTTTCTTCCTTCACTCTCCTCTTCCTTCTCTCTCCTTCCTTCCTTCTTCCCTCCCTTCTCCCTCCCTCTTTTCTTTCTTTCTTTCCTTCTTCTTTCTTCTTCTCTGTTTCTTTCCTCCCTTCCTTTGCTCTTTGGTTCCATCCTTCTGTCTCTTTCCTTCCTTCCTTCTCTCCCTCTTTCTTTCTTTTTTCTTCCTTCCCTCTTTCCTTCCTTCTGTCCCCTCTTTCCTTCCTTCCCTCTTCCTTCCCTTCCCTTAATAAACAAATCGTCGATAGGAAATAGAAATGAAATATTATTACGAAAAGCAAGGGGAAAATAGGAAATGTAATGTCGAAGAAAGGTGACAAAAGAATTAGAAGAAATACTCATAGTAGAAAGGAATATAAGAAAAAGATGAGACGATATAAAAAAGAAAAAAGATCAGCAAGAAAGAAAAATGGAATTTTTTAAAAACCCTAATTCTGTTTGTTTTTCCTCCTCAAAAGATATTGTGAATTGGGCGGGGAGAAATGGTCCAGATATGAGGACATCCTAGTGAAAAATAGGGGAGAATTCAGAATCAAGACATTGGACGAAA